TGGGTCTTCTGTAAGAACAACCAGTGTTCTTAACCACTGAGCCATCTCTCCAGCCACTATTTTCTTTTTTAAATATTTTATTTATTATTTTTCTTTTATATGTACAAGTGTATTGCCTACATGTATGTAAGTGCATCTGTGTTGTTCAGTGCCTTCGGAGGTCAGAAGAGGGCGTTGGATCCCTTGGAACTGGAGTTACAGATGGTTGTTAGCCGCCATGTGGGTACTGAAAACTGAACCCAGGTCTTCTTCAAGAGCAGTCAGTGTTCTTAACTGCTGAGCCCTCTCCAGTTCCATTTCTAGCCTCTGGTCTGCAGTTCCTGCCTAAGCTCAGGAGGCCTCATCCATGTAGGTTTCAGAGAGGCCATTCTGCTGAGATTACAAGATGAGGCTGTTACAGAGCACTGCAGATTTGAGTACTTTTAAGGTTTATGAAAACTTACCAGGGCTATGACAGAGGGGGAAGAAAAGGAGACTCATCCATTTGCTGTAGCGATGGATGAGTCTAATCATCCATTGGAAAGTGTATCCTTTGTAGGAGGCTGCAGCTGTCTGTGGCTCTGTCTTCACTGTGTGAAGGGGCAGCTACCTGATAGCTGCTGGGAGAGCACTCTGCTGCCCAGGGATCCCACAGTCTTGCTCATTTCATGTTTGGGAAGACTCGTGTGTCCTAACTTTGCCAAATTCCAGTCATTCTCACTCACTGATTGCAGCTGTATGAGGCCAGGAAAAATAGTATTGTTCATCAGTAACTGGAGTTGTGGGAAGGGAAGAAAAAGATTCAGATGAGCCAGAAAACAGAGTAGGAAACTCAGAGGCAGACAGAGAGGGTACTCAGAAGTGGCTTGAGGTAGAGCCCTTGTGGCAGTCTGTTACTCAGCAGACAGGCTGTATGTATAGGTTACCCCATTGGTGAGGGTTTGAATGCACCTGGATGTCTCTCTGGGGCATATCATTGAAGGAACTCTTTGCAACACCATTGTTGCATAGCAGTAAAAAATTTAGGGCTGGCAAGATAGCTTAGCAGGTAAAGTTACCTGCCACCAGTCCTAATGACCTGAATTCAATCCCCAGAACCCACATAGTGGAAAACGAGAACTGACTCCTGAAAGTTGTTCTCTGACCTCCACACTTATGCATGATAAATGTATTCCACACATGTGCACACAAATCAATAAGTGTAATAAGGGATATGTGTGTGTGTGTGTGTGTGTATATAT